TAGAATAGGGTATCATTTTTCAGGAAACTGATAAATTAAATCAACTTTCAATAATACGTTCGCTTACTTCGGCCGTAACCGGTCATTATATAAAGTCGTACATATCTCGTTGATTGACTTTCTAAGGTAGAATATAAAGGACATTAAACTTCAGGGTACTGGAAAGCTTAAAAAATGTCTTGGTTTTATATACTTATATCAGGAGCCATTTATGTATACTTGCTACAAATACACAATCCGTATACATTAACATCCTTACAATGTAGTAAACGTCTGCCCGTATATCCCTACCGATACTCATTGTACTCCCCATATGTTATTTCGGCAATGTCTAGGAACACCTCCATTTATTCTAAGACAGCGTAGCAGCTTCATTACCGATTTGAAAATCCTTCTACAATTTTTTTTTGTGGTTGAGAATATTACATTCTTCTTTCACACGAACTAACGTGTCGAGCCTTTAAGCCAAAAAAACTGAGTTCACACCCTTAAACCCCTGGCTTTTTCAATGGGAGACGTCATAATTAATTTTCTAGTGGTTAATTTAGAACTGTTATTATTTTATTTGTTCTTCCTACAGTCGAGGTTTAGAGGAGAGGATTAATTTAGAAGAGACAACAATGAAAGCAACAACTGTAGTTTTAGTAATTTACCAAGTCACAAGCCCAAAAATGGAGTGAGCTTGAAAAAACGGTGAAATAAATCATGCGTGTGATAAATGAATGATGGTAAATTTTTCATGATTTTTCTCTATCCGATTTTGTCGAGTTTCACAAAAGGCAGGATGCTCATCACGTGGGAAATGCGGCTATAGTCTATTCTCTGCGTCTGTAAATAAATATAGTTCGCCTGACTGTCATTAGTAGTCACGCGTAGCCGAACAGGGTCACATCACTCGTTAAGAAAGTCGCGTGATGTGACATCTGCAGATTAAAGTCCGGTATAAATACTGTGCATCAGTAAATCCTATCATCGATACAGTGTGGATATTCTTCCTTGGAAAGTTCGCAAACGTTTCAGCCATTATGCCGTACACAATTCTTTATATTGGGGTACTGGACTGGGAACTAAATAAAACGGACCCTCACGCGGAGGACATTGAAAAGTACGTAAAATCCCTTAACAGCGAGGCAAGATTTGTGCATTTCTATCCTGTAACAGAGGGTTATTTCGTAGAAATCAATGCTGACAATAACTCCGAGGAAGGCCCTGAATGTGTGATTGTCGCTGATGGCGAGCGAATCCCTGCCGAATCGATTAATTCCGTGTGGTATCGCTGGGGAGTTGGATGCCGTAAAATATCAGAGGATGAAGACCTCCACAGTAAGGCTTTTTGTTGATAATTTGTAAGTAAAAACACCTTAATCGACATACGCTCTTTCCGTATTATAACGTATTTGGTAAAACTTTGGGGCTTATACGACATAGTTTGGGACTCATACGACATAGTTTAGGCTGAAGTTCAGTTAAGAACACTGTATTCGTAATTCCAACGTAAATGTTGTCGTAAATGCCGCTCGCTACACATGTACCTTTTTAAATTTCTTCAAAGCACACGTGTACCAAATGAATACTCCACTCGGCCGTGCTTCAAAGCAAAGTGCAGCACATTGAATAATTAACGAAGATTGGGATGAGGCTTTCGTTAGCCTGGGACAGGGCTCCGCCGTGGGGGAAAAAGGCAAAAAACGGGGTCAAATAGGAAAACACCCTTTCCCCTCGCCAGACTACCTCTTGGCTCCTTTTGTTTTCGCCCACTCCGATTTTTTTTCTCCTTTTTCCCCCGATGCAGGGCCTGGGCCCAGGCTAGGCTTTCGTATGATCTAATCCGTCGAGGCCGATAACAGCCTCCTCGATCTCCATAATTCTTCAGATCATGCGAAAACCGCATCCAATAGTTTATTTGTTATTCATTTAAAATAATATATGCCTAGTTTAAACTACAAACAAAAACAGTCATGCTTACCTCGATCGACTTAAGTTGTCGTCTTCATTTCCCTGTTTCTCGGCCAGTCAAGGATTTTAAAGGGTGTTCAGTCCACCAGTTATTCTTCAAATAGCAGTTGTCTTCCGTCGAGTTTTATATTTTTCTGCTTTTGCTACATTTTTAGGCAACAATTCGGCTTTTCATTTTCTTTTTCGCAAAACGTATGAAATTTCCGCCATTTCTTCCAGCTCTACTAAAAATCCACGCGTCATCGTCCACAAGGCTCCTTGTTGTTCTTGTTTGCCATCCCTTTTTCTCGCGTTAACCTTTCCTTTTTTAATCGCATACCGCTAACCTCTTTCAAATTTGGTCAACGCTAGCTGGTTTCGAAGAAGAAGCTAATTAAGAAATTTGAGCCAATCAGAAACGGGAAAATATTTTTAAAAAATATCAGTAGTAGAAAATAAGATGGTATGATAAACAGTACCATTCCGAAAGGAAAAAAGTTTTTTACTCAACAGAAGGGAATCAAATCCCATCTCAACGACAGTCCTAATAGAAGTAAAAAAGCAACTTGGTGGACAGATTTTGCATTCACTTCTTCGTCCATATTTCAGCATGTTCAAGGTATCAATCGGCCCCAGAATAAGAACTTCTATCCAGCTCAGGAAACGTTTCAAAATTAGATGTTTACATTAAAACCGTATATCTACCATCGAGAATATGTTATTAACTGTTCTATTTATTTATTCATGTATTGAGTTATCATCATAATCATCTCGAAAGCCTAGATTCAGGGATAATAGGTGGTGATTTATCCACATGACCCAGATAAAAAACGTCGTAATTTTATTCTAATCCAACAGACGTTTGGTAACACATATTTAAAATCTTAAAATAAAAAAGGTACAAAAGTCCACCGAGAGAGATTGCCATTCATTTTTGTAATTTTAGCATGCATCGCCAAAGATTTCGCGTGGAGAGAATGGTGGTCAGTAGTCCGTTCCCTGGAGTTCTATCTCTCTCATGCGAGATGGATGAACCCACTAAGTTCTACGGGCATTGTGGATTGCAAGCCATATCAGTTGTTACTAGCGCAGGAAGTTGGGTTGACTGTGCCGAAAACCACCATCACAAACAACCCGGAGGCCGTGTCAAAAATGTTCGACAAGGCGGATAACGGACG